AAGATGCTGGTTTGGGAAGAACATAAGGAACATAGGTAAGCTTCCTGAAGAAATGAGAAAACATAAAGAAAGGGAATGGAAAGAAGAAAGAGATAGAGAGGGACATGTGAAGAGATATTGGAAAGGGAATGGGAAAGGTGGAAAGAACAACAGAGAGGGAAAAAGGTAGAGAGAAAAGGGTGAAGGAGGAAGAAGTATTGTTTTTATGTGGAAAGGGTTTGGTAGCAGGGGGGATACAGGGGTGGCCTCTATAACCAGAGCCCAGCAGTTGCCCCATGACAGATCAGAGCCAGCTCCAACCAGCTCTGCCAAAGCTGAGCCAAAGGGCAATGATGTTTGCGCCTTTGAGAGAAGATATCTAAGAAAGGGGAAAAAAACTGCTGTGGAACAGCAGTTGCACAACATCTGGGAGAGAGGAAATTGTGAGAGAAACAGACCTGCAGACCCCAAGATCAGTGCAGAAGGAGGGCAGGAGGTGCTCCAGATGACAGAGCAGAAGTTCCCTGCAGACCTTGCAGAGGCCCATGCTCTGGCTGAGCAGATCTCCATGCTGCAGCCTGTGGAGGAGCCCCTGATGAAGCAGGTGGATGTGGCCTGGAGGAGGCTGCGGCCCATGGAGAGCCCCCGCAGGAGTAGGTCCCAGGCCAGAGCTGTAGCCCGTGGAGAGGAGCCCACACAGGAGTAGCAGGTCTGGGGGGAGCTGCCACCTGTGAGGGACCCCTGCTGGAGCTTCTGTGGTACGTAGCCATGTGGGAACAGTTCTTGAAGAGCTGCCGCCTGTAGGCAGCCCCCGCAGGCTCAGTTTGGGAAGGACAATATTCCATGGGAGGGACCCCATGTGGAGCAGGGGCAGAGATGGACTGAGAAGGAGTGGCAGAGATGAAGCATTAGGGACTGACTACAGCTCCCGTTCCCTGTTCCCCTGCACTGCTCAGAGCAAGGAGGTGGTAGAAGAGGGTGGATGGGGTGAAAGTGTTTTTAGTTTGCTTTTAGTTGCTGACTGTTTTGGTCTGCTAGCAATATGTAATAAATTTCATTAATCTCCCTATGCTGAGTCTGTTTTGCCCATGATGATAACTGGATTATCTCCCTGTCCTTATTTCAGCCGTTAAGCCCTTTTCATTTTTATTTTCTCCCCCTTTCTCTTTGAGTGAGAGAGTGGCTGTGGAGGAGTTCAGCTGCACAGCTGGGTTTAGCCACCACAGCAGGGAGAGAAGGATTTGGTAGAAGAGTGCAGGAAAAAATGTGTATGATGGAGAGATGGAGCACAATGTGAAGGAAGGGAAGGGAGAGAGAGAGAGAGAGAGAGAAGTGAATGAGATTCGGAAAGGGAAGGGACAGGGAGGAAAGGAAAGACAGAACTCTCAAATCAAAGAACTGGCTAAAATATATTCTCTCTATTGGGAAGCATAATAGTGTTTGCGTTTTTTCAGAGTAAGAGACTTTTTTTCAAAGACATTTTTAGTTCAGGTTGATTTCTCTTTCTTAGTAAAATAACCTATAAGAACCAAATACTAAGCAAATCAGGCTATAACTTAAGCTTAATTTTCCTTAATGGAATCATCATAGAATGGCTTAGGTCCAAAAGGACTTTAAAGATCTAGCTCTGACCCCCCTGCCATGAGCAGGGATGCTACCCATTAGATCAGGTTGCCCAGGCTCTCATCCAACACCTCCAGGGACAGGGCATCCGCTGCTTCTCTGGGCTACCAGTCCATTTTTCTGAGCCACCATCCTTTTTCTAATCTATCACTACACCCTACAGTAACTGCTCTGCTTTTGCTTATATGTATCTTCGAACGTATAGCATTCCTCATTGTTCTTTGCCAACACTTTTCCAACTCCTAAACTTTTCTAATTATAAGTAATTCTTACTGTTCTTTCCAAAGCTTGTCAGAATATTTTGTTGAAGTAATATTATCACATCCCTTTAAAGTCAAAATGCACCACAAAGGCAGTGATAACGCTCCTTTTCTCTGAGCATTCATATACGCAGCTCAAGCACACATTGGTTGTTTTAAAACATCCATATCCTTTTACTACGGTTTCTGTTATGGTCTCTCACATATTTTTCATTATTACTACTTCCCAAGTCTGTGTTTTAGATTACTGTATTTTCTGTTGAATTTTATTTTCTTCACATATTTCTAATCTCTGTAGACTTTTTTTTACTTCTGTATTTTCAGCGGGTTATGTATCTTCTAATATATTGTCAACTAAGAATTAAATTAACATGCTTTTGTGTTTCTACATTTACATTGATACGGAAGGTAAAACAGACAAGGCAGATCCAGATGGAAGATACTATTCCTTTAGCCCACTACACATCCATTATGCAGCATCTTACACCAACATTCTCCTGGGAAATTTCCAGTTCACATACTTATTAACAAAAAATTGTTAATGAAGTCAGCTTTTTTTTTTTTTTAGTAAAGTTGTGAAGTAGTATTAGATATGTCACTCAAATGCAAATATATTATACTGTCTCAGTTCCTTCAATTGTTTTGCATTTCTGCCAGAAATTAAGTACACTGTGAAGATTTTATTTTCCCAAAAACCCATGCTGCTTGATGGTTCTCAAATGCTGCCTGACATCCATATAGTCATCCTATATTTCAGAAACTTCCTTTTCTCATTTTCAACAGCTTATCACTTCCTTATATGCAGACTCTTCAGCTACTACTGACTTACTCAGCTATTCCCATGTCATAAATTCTTCCATTTATGTTTTCAGTAAGGAAGACAGGTTATGTTGTTCCTATTCTCATAAAAAAAACAAATTTGCTTTGCAAATTTAATCACAATAATACACTGTCTTTTCTTAACTTTGCATAACACCCTTCATGGAATATATCATACATAATAAGACATTTTAATATCCAAGCATTGCTTCATGTTTTAAAATATAGTTTAATTCTATAATCACAGGTTTTCCACTGGACCTTTTTGAAAGCAATATTACCTATCTAATTGTTCCAAAGCAAGCTCACACCTTATGAACTTCTTTGAAATCTTCTTAATAAGAAAACATTAATATCCCAAAACAAATATTGGGAAAGAAAAAAAAAGTAAAAAGGAAATAGAACTCTGCAGCATGGTGGTTTCCCTTAGTTTCTCATTTTATTTGTCAGTACAATATTGCCTTAGGGCAATAGAGGATAAAACTTTATCTGAAGATGAAGGAAAGCATGATGTTTACAGAACACAGAAAACCTCACCTAAATACCAACCATACAGTAAATAAAATGTAAAAACATTGCCCTGCAGATGGAAACCTTTGTCTGCTGATCATAGCAATGCACTAAATGGCTGACACCGCAGCCTCCTGTATTTCCTCTCTATACCAGGTTGGCCGGTGATGAAGGGAAACATGATCTTTCTTCATATCACTGTGGTAGGCCAAATAGATGTGGGTGTTCCCAAGGCCATTAGTTCAAATCTCAACAATATTAGGATTCAAAAAAACCACTTTTCAATCTTTCAGCCTCTCCCCCTATCTCTGTACAAGAAAAAAATCATGTCAGAAGATAGACAAACCTGTCAGGCTGCTTATTCTTAATTTTTAATGCCCCTTACAAATAGAAAACTTGTACTCCCAGAATAGAAGTTTTCTTAAAATACAGAGAAAATCCAAAATTATTTTATTTCTTTCTTTTTCAGGCAACTTTTCCCAAATTAGTAAGATACACAGAAAATACAAATACTTATACCTACATGTTTAAACACAGGTGATGGGATTGGAACTGTATCTAAAAGCTAAACTCAATATAGATCAAACTATATTAATGCATGTTTCAAGGTCCAACTGTCTACTCCTCACCAGGTTCTCTCAAAACTATGGATGTGGCTAGAAGTATGCAGTTAAGAGGTTACTGTCAAACCCCAGATTAGCAGCTTTTACTAGAAGATTTGAAGCCAGGTATCAGGCAGGGAACAGACATGCTACATGTAATACATTAAATATTTCTGAAAGTCTGTACATTTTAATACCTTTACATGGAGTCTCAATTTAAAAGTTGATGTTAAATTCCTGATTTATTTTTTAAATTTGTATTATTTGTATGATGTAAAATGGCAGCATGAAAATTTACTTGCAGCATTAGCAGTCATTTTTCAAGTCTTGTTTCCTGAAATTAGGTTTAAGAAGTAGATATGTAGAAAATGTATGCTTTTCAAGATATTCTAAGGATTCCTCTAATATTTTTCTCTCAGGTCTGTCTCATATTTCAAGGCAGATCTTCTGAATCCAAAAATGTTATGGTTGTGAGCATTCAAATTTGAGCACCTAGGTATTTAGTGCAGCACTTCCACTTGACACTGAGGTGAAATGTGCTTGGCAGGTCCCCATGACTCTCTGAAATCTGACTGAATTGAACAGTGTTTATCCATTTGGTATGGCATTGTCTGAAGAAAGTCACGCTAGCATTTGGAAAGAGCATCCTTTGGAATCAACACCTAAATGTAGCTCTATTTTCATAAGCATCCAGAAACAATGAGCCATGGTAAAAGGAAGTATAGAACTGGAGTCTCCCACATTTTTGAAGAGAATACTACTCATTTGGGGGAATTTGCTATGTAATGACACAATTGTCTGGCAGGCGTGCACAAATACTAAGAGGAAAATTTGACTGTTTTTAATTTTAATGGTACCGAAACACAGATAACAAAATCACCATGGGGAAAAACATATTGCACAAAAAGTATTTAAGTTGTCAGAACTAATGTTTCAGCTTTACTGCCTTCTTCTAAGAAAAAAAAAAAAAACCACAACCCTATACACAAGGTTTTGTGTCAGAACTATTTTTGAAAAGAAATTTCAAAACCAAATATATTTATTCCCATATAAAATTTCATTTTGTTGTAGATTGTATATAAATGTTTGCTTTTTTTTTATCCAGAGGAGAAAAGAAAATAAGTTCCTTTTGTGAGATTGGGGTGGAGGGAGCAGGGGAGGGTAAGTTTTTGTTTAATATCACTTTAGAAATAAACATCTTACACACCTTTTCAAGACCTTCTTCCTTGAGGCTAATAACATCTAAATCAAAATCTGTCCTTAAGCCATTAGATTTGTTGAAAGTTATCCTGCCTGTGAGGCCTTCCCAGTGAGCCTAGAGAAAAAGAAAAAAATTATAAATATTTCCTATATTTCCCCAGAAAGAACAATGTTATCAAATTCTGTCAGAATGGGAATATTACTTACCTAAATGTTTTACATTGTGGCTGATTTAAATATATATATTTCATATTTACTTCTTGCTAATTAAATTAACCTTTCTTTAATCTTCATAGACTTTTTTTTTAATCAGTTTTCCATGTTAACCAATAAATTCTTCATTTCTACACTATTCATGCATGCATTTCCAGTTCCGTTTCCCTGCCACCAAGCCCTGATCTCTTCTATTAACTCTGGATTTCATTCTTCTGCAAGATGCTGAGAGTCCCCACGCTAAGACACCGAAAATTGAGGTCCGTGAGCCAGTCTTCCAGAGTTTATTCCTTACTTACTAATTTAATTAAGTGGAATATCCTATTAAAATAATAATAATAAATAAACTTACAGTCAGCACGGTTCTTAAACTATACTGAACTAGAGGAAGAAGTATGGAAGACAAAGTTATCATCTTAAAATCAATTAGTATTAAAAACAGGATTATATTCCATTGCAAACATTTAGCTTTACCATGGTATTTTGCATATTTAGAATGAGAAACTAGTAATTTACAGTACAAGAATACTCTATTTGAATATTCTATAATCTTTAGCACCTTAAATCTCCTAAACTTTATCTAACCATATCTCAGAAGTATACTCGGTGAACAATGCCATATATATTTATCATGGCAAAAGAAGTGAAAATTAGAACTTCATTCTTGGCCTCTTTAAATGTATACTAGCATTTAGTTGCTGAATTTTCATAGTTAGTCTATGGTTTAGAGTCTTGGCGGGTTGTTTTTTAATACTACAAATGTTCCAAAAATGCTCACAAGTATCCACAATTAAAGGTTTTATTTAGAATGCAGTTATTTCACCCTTTTATAATTCTAGTTGGAACAAAGTATATCATACACAGAGCTGGAAAACTTGTTTGATAGATAAGACAACATTTTTATTTGCAATTTCTTTAAACATAATAAGCTAATAGTCTCACTCACCTGCAAAAAAAAAAATAAAAAAGCAGAATTCAAGTAGAATTTGAATAAAATGAAATGGGAGTTGGGAGGAAGGAAAGTAAGGAAGGAGGATATATTTTGTTAGTGACTTACCTCCTTAATGAGACTCATAAAGCGGGTCCCAAAGCGCCATGGTTTGTGGCGATTGCACTGTAGTGAACTGACAGTCATCTGTGGGAACTGCTGGACAGCCACTGATACCACATGAACTGCATCATACATTAGAGCTGCATCCGTCTAAAATTAGAATGAAATCAGCATTATGAGCACAAAATCAAAACAAGTGACAATCCAGCAGTGAGGGAACGAAACAAAAATTTAGCACTGCTCATTACACTACAGGGAGAAAACAATCTGATTGTGCAGCGCTGTGACAGCCTGATTGCCAAGTCTCATAGAAGCATCAGGACCTGTAGTCTCAGTTCTTCTCTTTTTAAAGCTGAAATAAGGGCCCAAATATCAATTTTATAGGATCACAGCAGGACACCAGTACCTCTGATGACTCACACCACCTTAAAGAAAGCAGTGTTTTAGGAGGCTGCACTGTATGCATGCAGGTTTGACTCAAGTCAGTTATTTCCATCAGTGAGAAGAAAGAATAGATTAGCAAAGTAGCAAGACCTTGGCAATGAAGGAAAGGCTAAGGAAATAATGGTTTTCCATTTGGAATTACAGACTAGAAACAATCCCAAAAGTATTTTACAAATTCATTTATAAGTTTTTATAGGTATCAGTTTTAATCCCTAAGACAGACCTACATGTAATCAGTATCTTCTACAAAGCAGTGGCAAATTAGAATTCCATTAAACTCCACATTCATTTTAATTGTTTTCATGTCCCATTCTAAATAAATGGGCTGTTTAGTCATGGTATATGCTAACTACTGTTGTATTAGCAAAGGACGGAAGCAGCCTCCCAGTACATACTGTACAAAAGAAACTGAAATTTTTCCTCTTCTCTTTGATAAACAGAGACAAAACTTGGAATCAAAAGCAAGAGAGGACCTTAGATTCTGCTTGTAGAAATAAATACTATGCCATCTGCTCAGTATACCTTAGAGGAAAGGGACCTCTTTCCCCTTCTCATTCATATAATTAGCGAGCTGTGAAATTAGTTCTTTAATGGACAGGAAACCTGGAGATTATTGCACTTGTCACAATACAATACAATGCAATACAAAATAAGCTTATATAGTGCCTTTCATGCAAATGCATCCCAAGGCTCTTTACAATAAAATTAAACATAAAAATGCAAAAGAGCTCTACCATTATAGCCCATAAGATACTGTTAAAGGGGAAAATATACGTTTACATTTAAATTGCTCTCCCAGGGAGAGATTTCAAAATTCAAACAGAAATAAATCCCAATTTTAACATAGCTAGTATAATAGGTTTCAATGATCTCAGACACCAAGCAGTTTATACAGACACTCCAAATCAGCCAGAAAATATTTTTGCTGCCAAATTGTTCATTATCTTTAAGGCATTAAAGTGCTTTTAAGGCAAGCTAATATCTGACAAGGAGACAGCAAAAGTCCCAAAAGTCAGAATGACATGCTGAATAAGCATCATACAAAGCTTAATATTCTAGTACTTGACAGAAGTTGGAGTCTAGACAATAATTTAAAAAATAAACTATAAAATAAGTTCAATACATAAGTCTGGTTCAGAAATGAAAACAGTATGTTTGGGGATTGTTTGTTTTATGTTGCTGTTTTTCTTTTTTGGCCTTTTTTTTTTTTTTTTAAATCAGCTTTACTTCTAAACACATAGTCCTTGCACCAATGGTTGAAAATTTAAATTGCTATAAAACTTAAGCAAAATCATTCCCATTAAGAAGCAACCAGAAGTTAAAAAAAAAAAAACATTAACTGATTAATTAGATATAAATTTGGACATGAAACCAATAAGACTCATCAGCAAGAATCAAATGGACATTACGCCAGATGCAGAGAAACATGGCTTTTTGTCAAATTCTATAAGCCACTGAGCTGGAAATCTGTAGGATGAAAAGACAGTCAACTCCAGTGGAAACATTAAAAAAGCCATTGCAGTTTTGGAAGTAATCTGAATCCTGTTAATATTCATCATACTCAACTGATGAATATTGCTTCACCGGAAATAAAGCTAAAGCAGAATGCACTTTTAAATACAGACAACATCAACTAATCACTGGCTAGAAGCTGAGCGTCCAATTTGGTCTTTAGATTCTGCAAGATAAATCCATTATTTACATAGGCTGATCTTCCACAGTCCACCTTGCATTAAAGTTAAATGTAGGCTTAATTGTTTGTACTGAATAGATAGAACCACATGCTTAAAAATATATTGGTTTAGTGATTCAACATCACACTCATCTCTCCGGGTGCAATCACTGATTTTACTGAACCAGAAATAAACAGCACAAAACTCAGGAAAAGATAAAATATGTGCTTGAATTTGCAAGTTGGGCTGTTCTCTGCTTGGTTACTTTATCTTTCATCTGAGAGACAGAAGGAACTGATAGCAATTGTACTACTTCCCCACCATCATTTGTTAAGCTTGCTAAGCATTTTTTGTGTCTTACTGCCATTTGTCTGTGCTGCTTTCTTTGCCTTAAATCATGTTATTGGAACGATGCTTTGTGATACAGGAAATGCTGCAGGTTTCAGCAAGAAACTGGTCAGGGACTTGGGAAAAAGCATCCCCCAAGTTTTAGAATTCTTTATCTTATCTAAAGAGAGATTGGCAGCCTGAAAGAAGCAGTATAAACTTCATGAGAACCAATGGTTCTTGAGTTTCAGATAAGAACCTGCTAAAACATTTCCATTCACTGAAGAATAAATAATGAGGTTAGTACTTTTCAGCTAACTTGTATAAACCTTTCAAAAATTATGGTGTATCTCAAAGATATATCTTGGTACAGTATTTGAGACAGTTTTTTGTTTTGTTGGTTTTTGTTTCATAGTTGTCAATCATGACTTGTTCAAATACAAATAAACATCAAAAATACTGCTCATGACACCGTCAGTTGCATGTCTACAACTACAAAAAAATACAATAATAGAAGCTATAAAAGTTATTCATCAAATAGAAATAGAATGAGATTTACTTTAAGATGTCAAATGACAGCTGTCTGTGACTACAAGTCTTTCTTTCAGTTGAGTCAATGAAGTAACAAAAAAAGCTTTTAGCACTCAGATAGCAGTTTAATCAGAGAAGTTCTCAGTCACAGTATACTTCAAACAGAAAGTACCAATACGTGTTTACTTTTTATTCTGAACTCAGTTGGATACTACACATTTCTTCTCAACACTGCTCTGGCATTCCTTTACCTCCTGTCTTACTGTGGGTGTTGTGTTTGTCTCCACTAATTACATGTTTTTCTTTAACAGCACTAATCATTTGTGAGTCCTACTTGCTAAATACTGTTGAACAGATTTCAAGCAGATATTCTAATCTCACCGTGAAATGGTTTTGATGGAGACAGACTCAGTGTAAAGCACACAGGGAAAATGTCCTCTCTACTATTAGATAAAGGGTCTACTATTTCTCTCCAGGTCTCTTCAGTGTGGTCTTCTTCATCCCCAATCCTACACGAAAATTTGTCTACAGAGGCACACTATAAGCTCTAGTAGATTTATGCCATGATTTCTGGCACACCTTTGCTTCACCTGCTCTCACTGTAGGGAAGGTTTGGGTTTTCAGGGCTTGGAGCTGGGGCAAGAAGCTGGTAGGTTAGTATTTTACACCGGTTTCTAACCTATATGGGAGAAGCTGATGCAGAAAAAAAAAAAATAGTATTGGCTGGATCCCAGCCAAGAAGAAATCTTCCCCACATAGCGGAAATGTTGGACTGGTTTTCTGCTAGTTTTCTCTGCCCTTCTCATGACATCTCAAAGGTATGATTTTCAGTGACCTTAAGCATGGCTGGTAGCTTAGAGAAGAACTAGCTGAAAATCCTGAAACCAAATGGGATGTTTATGCACTATAGCAGCATCTTGAGAGGTAGGTCTGTATCTTAAGACACTGCAGAAGCGAGGAGACGTGCTCACACTCTGACACAGATAAATGCAGCCCTAACAGAAGAGGTTTTCAAAATCATCATGGTTATGATCTTCATAACCAGCTTCAGAATTACACTAAACAGGAGTTCATTGATGTCACTTGACATGTGACTCAAATTTGCTAATTACTTTTGAAATATCTGTACACAATTAACTATTAGGGGTTAAAAAGAGATGCAGATTCCACATTTAGCAACATATAATTCTGACATGTTTTTGTGTGACGTTTCCATTTACTTCCAAATGGAATGAGGATCTCCTATACCAATAAACCACTCCTTTCCTGTTCATATCTCATTGCTATAGAATTGTCTCTGAATAGCAGAACATATCTGCTTTATTTTTAGATAACATGACTTTATCACACACAAGTTTAATGTTAATTTAGGATGAAGGATTGCTAGACTAATTCCGTTTCTTCATGAACTGTAACAGAAGTACAATTCTCAAGCAGAAAAATTATATTTCAGCCTTTACTATAACAAATTGTAGTACCTTATAATATGTATTAAAAGAAAAAAATGGAACTGTTCCATAGGCATAATCTGGAAGAACTTTCAAAGACAGGTGATTAAAACCAGCTGGAATGTAAGGAAACAATTAAAAATCAGATTTTCAATTAATGTGATTGTTTTTCCCCCAGTTAAATTTATTATTAATAAAAGCCTATGAAGAAACATGATCTATTTAAAAGGTGTTCTGTGCAGTATTTGGAAACACCAGGACAGTCACATACTACTAGAGATAGCTCTGTCTTCCTGTCTCTAGTCAGTCAAATTTTGTCCTTGTGAAATAAGTCCAGCTACCTTTACAAGACTAAACTGCTCAGTCAGACACTAACATACGCTGAAAAGTATTGTGCATTAATTAAAATGAAGCTAAAATTTTAAACTGTGATTTCATTTGCTCAATCAAAAACGAAATGAAACTGAACAAAAATGCTCACAAATATATATCTGCATTTGTTTTCCTTGGTAACCATGACAAAAGTATCCAGATAAATGCATAAACCTGAAAGTACATTGGCCACTTAATTATTTTTTTTTTTAAACAAAGTCCTTGAAAATGTCCTTGAAGTCCTAAAAGAACTTTATCATATATCCTTTTGTACTGACTGAAATCATGGTACAGATTTTCTGCTAGCTGCACAGATAGCCACCTCAGACCACAGCATCCTCTGAAGTAAACCTAG